AAGTCTCCCCTAGAGGAAGATAATTGCAGGGCTCATCAGAGGATAGGGCCCGTAGAGGCAATTCCAAGTTAGGAAAGAACCTCTTCTTCACCCCCTCCAAATTCGAAGACAATATTGTTGAAGGAACTAAGTAGCGAGAGTGCCACTTCCACTCAATCCCAAAGGAGGTTTGTTCCTTGAATAAGAGCAAGACAAGGGCAGCCATCAAAAAACTCAAAAGAAAAAGAGAAGAAGAAACAAAGAGTTTTAAACCTTCAAGATTTAAGAAGAGACTCAAAGAGTAAAGAAAACCAAGAAAATGTAACAAACTCGTAAGGACACAAAGTTTTTATGAAATCAAGGAGCGCACAAGAACCTAAACCGAAGGACCTTTGGGTTTTCCAATTTAAAGAAGGATGTTATACTTTTGAAAAGTAGTTGGGCAATCCCCGATTGCATCATCGCCATATTGATTAGCCCGGAAAACCCAGGTTGAATATGGGCACCAAAAACACGACTACCGGTAGTTGTTTGTACAAAGCCAACATCAAGGAGAGCTTAGACAAGCCTCCTGCTTTTAGTTGATTCAACAGGAAAAACCTCCCCAGTAGCTTCAACATTTCCCTGATACTCCTCATCCATCTCAAGCATTTGCAGCACTCGGCAATCCAAGAGAAGTCCAATACAATAAGCTACAGCGTAACTTGAGAGTCCAACTCCATAGTTGAGCTCTACCAATTCAATTTAATCAGTTTGAAAAGCTAAAGTTATTCTGGGGTGACCTCTACAAATCTTTAACCTCTGAGGTTAGACTTTCTGAGCTCCTGAGGAGACTTCTCAAATTTTTATGGGCTAAATCCAGCTCGTATGGCTGCATAGACCACCTAGAACACCTCCATAAAGCCAACTGATCCAAGACCCTTCTTGATGTGCTGGCTAAATTGGGACTAGTATTTCCCGAGTTCGTGTTCCATCAAGGTTCTCATGGATGCAACATCATGGCCTCTATAGATGCACTTGTGATGGACCTCGGCATCAGGTTACTTACTCTATTTGCCAAATCCAGCAAACACCCAATGCCCCCCTTGAGGGCACCAAACATCAAGATAGAACTCTCCGAAGGTCAGACTTCAATGATCCAATAGCTCATTTCAAGAAGAACCAAGTCCTCTTTGCGTAGATCTCAACACCTCAATTAGGCTCGCAATTCCTCCAAACTCAACAATTTTGCTTTAAAGAGAACTCAATACTCCTCAAAGCAAGTGGGGCAAAGGGAGGATAAGGTAGAGCAATGCAGTTAGGGCAACAACTCAAAAGCAAACAGTGAATCAATATTACAACTATAGTGCAGAAAAGCTATGAGTTAGATATGCATTTCAAAACAAAAGGAGTTACATTTCAAAGTTGTATTTCAAAGTTATAAGTCAGAATGAGCTCAGAGTTACAAAAAGTTTTTTTACATTTCAAAGTCCTAAGTTTCTGAAGAAAGAGTAGATGAAGGGTTCTGCAGTCCAGTAGCTGAGGCCTCAACAACATGAGCAAGAGAAGAGCCTGGCAGTTCAGCAGCTGATGTTCCTAATAGCTCAACAGGCGAAGTATCTGGCAAGTCAGCAGTATAAGCATTTATAAGCCCTGGGGTAGGCAAGAGAGGAGTAACCTCAAAAACCTCTGAAGCAGGGACCTCTATTCCAACTGATGGCGAATTCAAGGCTAAAGCCTTAGTTACAAGATCAGCAAAAAAAAGGGAGCCTAGTAGTAACAGAGACATCTGAAGGAGTAGGGGTGTCACCTTCACCCTCTATGTGGGCTATTTTCGTTCCCTCTGTAATATGGACGTCAAAGTTGAAGTTCAAATCAAGATAAGTCTCCTCAACTTTGTCCTGAAAAGCAAGCCACCCGGAGGCCCACTTGGTAGTAATATCATCCCTCAGCTTAGTAATGGCCCCGTCCTTCTTAGTTGCAGTAGTTTTTAGCTCTTCAAGCTCACTGCAGAGGGTACCATTCACCTCGGACAAAATGATGAACTCCTTTCTCAGGCTCTTGAGGGAGCTCTGGGCAGCAAAAGCTTCCTAGTTAGCGTTGACTCAAGCATCGATTTTAAGTTTCAGCTCCTCCCTGACCATTCTTAGCTCATCCCTAGCCTTCTTTTCTCCTTCCTCAGCCTTATCTTTGGCAGCCTATAAACCCTTGAAGGTAGAAGCCTACCTCTCTATTTTCTCTTGAAGGTCTTGTACTTGAGCTCGAACGTCATCATTGTCAAAGGACAATTCGGCGAACTTAATCTCATATGCCTTCATAGTTTTGACAGAGTTCTCCGAAGATTGGATCCTGCTTAATAAGTTCTTCACATGGATAGCCGACTGAGGACAAAAAAAAAAAAAAAAAAAAAAAAAAGCAAGTGAAGTTTAGTATGAAAAAAACATGAGGTCAAATGAGAGCATAGAATTGCAGGGACTTACAACAGCTGCTCCTTGGAGAGCTGAGCTTATAAAGGCCTTAAGAGACATGGAAAAGGCCCTTTGAACGTCAAAATTAGGGAGAATAGAGGAAATGGCCCCAACAACAAGTTTGACATTGTCGAAGAAGAAACCTTCACTTTTCTCTACTTTAGGATACTCCCCCTTCTCAACTTGGAAGCTCCCAGAAAAGGGCAGGGGAGATTTCTCAAAGTACCCAGGAGAATTGAAAGAAGTCAAAACACGGGTAGTCGTTTTCAAGGCCTTTTCGACCTCAGAAGAGGAAGGGGAGATTTGACCCCGTCCAAGAACATCTGCATGGCCAAGCAAGGTGCCTTGGGAGGAAGGATCATTTGTAATTGGAGCATGAGGAGCCATGGCATACTCATCTTCGGTACCTTGGGTGGGGGAGTGGACCCGCTGCCAGAACCAGGCCCAATCTTACGTTTGGTACCACTCCTGGTCTTCCTTAATTGGAAAATTTAGCTTAGAGCTTTATTGGAGTAGGCTCCATCGAGGAAGAACCTGGAAGACTTAAAGTGAGCAAGCTGGGAAAGAGAACAAAGGAGAGCTAAAAATGAGGGAATTGATGGAGAAAGCGTCACCTGCTACCTCCTCAGCTCTAACAATGGAGATTGGGATCTGGGCTTCTATCATTACCTCTGGAAGGCTGAACCCCAGCTCTATAAGAATCCAAGGCTTGATGAGTTAAAAATATTTTTTTTGAGTCACACTTCTCCAATTTCAGCAGCACTCACTCGTCCTCAGCACTGAGCTCAGGTCAAACACCTGAGAAACAATGTAAAGCAGAACAAAGTCAGTAAGGGTCACCAATTCTAATCTTAGTCAACTTGAGCAAGAACTTACCTAGGTTATCAAGGCAGACCAGGCTCTAGGGATAGGAAGAGTGTCTGTCTTTTCTGTTGGATTGTACTCCCACTGTATCCCCCACACATAGAAGAAAAAAATTTTCCAGCCCTTGTGGGAGCTCGGGAGATCAAAAAAAATCAATTTGGCCTTTGTTCATTTGGAGATATACAAAAAACCGTCGGAAGAAGTATGCTTAACATTGAAAAGTTTCATGAGTAAGGAAACGATGGGAACCCCAAGCTTATGATTCTTAAAGAAAACGAGGAGACCCACCAAGATACCCCAAAAGTTAGGAGAGAGCTTGGCAGGGCAAACGTTGAAATACTACATAAAACTCTTGATGAAAGGGTGTAAAGGAAAGCACAGACCATTCTCAAAGACAACCATAAAGAAGCAAATTTTTTTATGAACCTGGGAGACATATGGGGTGAACTTGTCTGGACACCAGTACTAGACTCCTGGAGGAAAACCAAAACGAGCACTAAGAACCCTCATAAGAGAAGGGGAGACCTCACTGGGGCCCACGCGCTCTGCATTTCTAAAAGTAGTCCCAGTGCCTGTAGTATAGGCTCCCACGTCACTCACCTTGTCTTTACCTTTGTCAGGGTTTGTGGGCACAAGAGAGGACGTTGAGGGAGGTTCCTTAGTATTTACCTCAGCATCGATAGAATCAACGTCTGGGAAACTGTCAATCTCCTCACCCACATCGCCTAAATCAGTATCTTCCACAGCATACCTATTCCCCAGGAAGGAAACTGAGGAAGGGGTAACTCCAAAAGAAGCAGACATAGTTAGGCAAGAAAATGAGAGTCTAAATGTACGATAAAGGGGATGAATATTTGCATAACACTCCCTGAGAGTCTGTGGGGCAACACAACAACTGCCAATAAGGAAAACCCTAGCAGTTGAATAAGTATCTAAGAAAAAAGGAATACGAGACAGAGATCGACTTCGGTTCCTAAAGTAACAAAATTGAAAAGCCCAAAAATGTAGAAACCACCTCAAATTTGAGGGAGCCAGAACGAAGAGATGAATAGAGATCAAGAAGCGTACCTAGGTAAGGGTGAACAGTGGACCAAAGCCAGAAATGAAGGCACAGACCAAATTTCGTTGAAACCACGGGCTGAATCAAGGAAAGTCGATTTTTCAATGAAACCCTAGGAGCACCAGCAGAATCGACAGTCTAAATTTATAGGAAGAAGAGAGGGAAAAGTTTAGAGGAGGAGTTCAAAGGGTGAAGTGAGTCGTTCCCCCTCAATTCAGAAGCATTTAAAGCTAACGGCACATGAATTCTTCTTTGCCACTTTGATTTGAGCTACAAGGCTCGAGAAAGTCGTGCTTAGGATTGCTGGGGGGATTGGGATGATTTACACAGTGAAAATATAGTGGTTCACCAGCTTGGGAGCTCGGCTAATCCACTCTTCAATGGAGGCTCTTGCTACTTTTTGTTTTATTAATAGGGAATGGAACTTACAGTGTGTTTCTCACGCACCTGGGGTTTTTGTACTACTAGGGTTCTCTCCCCCTCAATGGAGGAGTTATACAGTATTTATAGAGTTGTTCCTTGTTCTATGGGATCTTTTTCGAGATCCTTGCCTTTCATATGTGGATTCCTTCTTGATTTTTGGAGAATATCTTGGTTGGTTGAGGGTTTTGTGCCTTGAATTTGACTCTTTGCCACCTATAGGGTTCCTACTACCATCCAGCTGTTCCCTTATCATTTTTGTTATTGTCACGTCTAGGGGGAGCTCTAGCTTTGGTCCTCTGAGCTCTGCATGTCTTCCCCGACCTCTTTGTCTGGCCTCCGCGCCTCAGAATCTGACTCAAAATCAAGCTCCATAGTACTCTTATATCATTGAACCATAGATTGTAGATGACGGCTTTTGTACCATGATACCCAACATCCTCAAATTGTTTTAGAAGCTCCTCTTCTGTTGAATATAGAGACCATTGCAACAACATGGAAAGATTGGCTATGTAATGTTCTTTACTATGCAAGTTATCCAATGCACCAGTAGATGTATTGACCTCATAATCAACCATGGGAACCACTATTCTGTCATATCCTACTTGTGTCAAAAAAGTAAAAGATAGAAGACCAATGCTCCGTGCCAATTTTCTATTCTTCATGTGGCGGCAGAAAACAACGACATCTGCCCCAAGTCCCATGGAACTAGTCTTAAAGCCATTTCCATATTGTCCAAAAGTTGATTTTGACTTTTTATCTGAAAATCCAAAACTCAGGCAGCACTGCATTGCATCTGGGTCCATCCCACCACCGTCATCTTGAATTAACAATGTTGGGCATCCATTTCTTGGATTTAAAGTTTTATCTACAATGAAAAAAGTGGTCCCATTCCGTATCTCATCAACAACATTATCAAGTAGCTCTACTATTGCACCAAAGGCCCATTTGTGCAAGATACCATTTGAGTGAAGGAACTTGGGGTGAATATGTAGATAACTTGTGCCATCTTCAAAATTTGGACCCTTCTTTGTGATATCTCCAGCCGTATCATATGTCTCATACTCCTTTCTTTCTAAAACTTCTCTAGCCCATTCTGGCATGCGAGGTTGTGGTATCTCAATTGGTATGTCACTTGCGGAGGAGGATTTGGGACTTGCACCTCTGTTACTCTTTCATTCTCTGCATGACCCTCGATAGCAGCTTCTCCTTGAGAGCGCTTCTTGGTGAGAACATGAAGGGAATTTGGCTTAACATCAACATCATCCTTCGGCTTCTTTTCTTTAAATTTCTCCATTTCAACTGTAATCAATGGCTTCAAAACGATCTCTTTGTTGTTAAATGAGAAAGAGTATGTTTTTTGTTTCCTACAGTGATGTACATCTCTATAATAAAGCCAAGGCCTTCCAAGGAGGGTGTGAGTAACTTTCATTGGAATCACATCACACCAAATAGAATCACTATAGGAACCATAAGAAATAGAGACAAGGTATAGTTGGGTTACCGGAATAGAAGTGTTGTCAATCCAAGCTACCGTATATGGCTGAGGATGGGGTTGAATGGGAAGCTTAAGGCGCTCAACCATGGATGATGATACAACATTCATGCAACTGCCACCATCAATAATAAGCTTACGGGCTTGATCTCCACAACGAACCAGCATCTGAAAAATATAAGTGCGCCTCCAATCTTCCTTCTCAACTTTAGGGGCTGCAGGGATACTCCTGACAACCGAAATCAATGAAGTGTTAGTCTCTTCGTCTTCTAAATCATCATTATTGAAGGCCCCAACATCAAATGATTCCTCCTCATCTTCATGGTGTTGTTGGTTAGGTTCCTCATTATGCTCCACTTTAAAAAGTCTATCTGATCGTGTCGGCATGGTACTACCCTTGCTCTGATACCAAAATTGATGTAGCACAGAATTGGAAGGCGGTTAAGGAAAGTAGAAATACCGAAACGGGGCTATTTAAGGGTTGCTTAGGGGCTGTGAACAGTACACAAACAGTGGATGAACAATAGAGGTGAACAGTAGAACAAGAAGAGAATTAGAAGGAAGAGAAGATAGTTCTGGGCCTCTCACATAGAAAACCCAAGGCATCTCACCTAGGGGCTCTTTAGCATCACACCAAAGAAAGGATTGTATCACACAATTCTGAAATTTCATATATTCATCATCATACTTCAAAGTATTAAAGTTACATCAATATATATAGGACTTTAGAAACTAATTAATGCTAAAAACTTTTCAAGTCCCAAAAAGCTAGATACAATGAGTGTGTCATGGTGCATGAATATGTGGATACATGCATAAAAATTCTGTGGTGAATGTATTTAAATGAAAGGTCATAAGGCAGATGAAAAGTCATGCAGACTTTTAGGAATCAGCCCATGTTTAGTCAATATCCCAAGTAGGCCCAACATCATCCAACATATGCCAAATTAACGCTTGGGCCTTAGAATCATCTAGCTCACGTCTTTTGTACGTCTTTATTGGACGTTGCCATTTTCCATCACTTTGTCTTTATGAGATGGCATCGGGCCAAAAAATTAATCTCTCAAAATTTGCTGTGGCATTTAGCAAGAACGTCAGCCCAGCTATAAAGCAAAAGGTATGGGTCAAGATGCAAGGTTGGAAGGAGAAATTATTATCAAAAGTTGGAATCGAGATTCTCATCAAAGGCCGTAGTATAAGTTGTGCCATCTTATGCTATGTCTTGCTTTAAACTACCTATTTTGTAATGCTCTGAATTGGACAACATGGTGGCTAACTTTTGGTGGGGAAGTAACAACGATGCAAGAAAGATCCATTGGATGCAATGGGACATGTTGTGCCTACCAAAAAGCAAGGGGGGGTTAGGCTTCAAAAACCTAACTGCTTTGAATTTAGCGCTTCTGGCTAAACAATTTTAGGGATTATTGAAAAACCAAAATTCGATGCTTTTTAAGGTATTAAAGGCGAAATATTTCCCCAATTCAACCTTGATGGAAGCTCAACTGGCTTTCCAGCCTTCATTTACATGGCGCAGTATCCTGGAATCTAGAAAGGTCATCAAGGCAGGAATGAGATGGAGAGTAGGTAACGGACAAGAAATTAAGGTGAGAAGCGATCCATGTTAACCAAGACCATCCACCGTTAAAGTTGTTAGTCCTCTTATGGACCTAAATGAAGATACTCGCGTAAGCTCTCTGCTGGATGTTGATCGATTTACTGAAGCAGATGTTCTTAGACTTGGATGCAGAGATAATTTCTTCTATACCTATTTGTGAACTACTCCNAATTCAACCTTGATGGAAGCTCAACTGGGTTTCCAGCCTTCATTTACATGGCGCAGTATCCTGGAATCTAGAAAGGTCATCAAGGCAGGAATGAGATGGAGAGTAGGTAACGGACCAGAAATTAAGGTGAGAAGCGATCCATGTTAACCTAGACCATCCACCGTTAAAGTTGTTAGTCCTCTTATGGACCTAAATGAAGATACTCGAGTAAGCTCTCTGCTGGATGTTGAATCGATTTACTGAAGCAGATGCAGAGATAATTTCTTCTATACCTATTTGTGAACTACTCCCATGGGACAAGCTGATTTGGCATTACACAAGATCGGGCAAACATTTTGTAATGGAGAACGGCCTTCAATATCCAGCAGTGACATAGAAGGTTGGCCAGGAAGATTTTTTTGGAATTTGAATGTCCTTAACAAAGTCAAACATTTTATATGGAGGGCTTTACATGGTATTCCCCCCACATAATGTAATCTTCTTACAAAAAAGATGCTTGTGGATAACGTTTGTTATCTATGTGGATCGCCCAATGAATCAATCTATCATCTTATGGTTCAGTGCCCGTTTGATTTGAGGTTTGGAACATTATTGGTTTGAACATACCTTTGGGTGGTAGATTATCATTTAACGAATGGGTGCTCACTTCCCTCAAGTCTTTGTATCCAGACAAAATGTCTTTGTTGGCTGTTATTGCGTGGAATGTCTGGTTCAATCAGAAGAAAGGACGAAGACACTAAATCTCCAGGTGAAGTGGTAGAGTTTTCTATACACTACCTTGATCAGTTTGTATCCCGTAATTCCTGCTTCCCTGTTACACATTCAAGTCCAGTTGGAAGGGACAGAAGGCATTGGATTGCTCCCAGGCCAGGTACAGTAAAAGCAAACTTGATGGGGCGATATTCAGAAAGGATGTATCTCTGGAGTTGGGGTTGTCTTTTGTGATGAAAATGACAGGCTTGTAATGGGGTTGAGCAAAAAGATTAATGGGGTGTTTAGTGTAGAAAGTGTGAGACAATTGGTTTTTTAAGGAGGCTCTAAGGCAAATTATTGATGCACTCTGAATCTGGGGAATATGGAGTCCTCTGAGTTTGGAAANAGTGAAGTGACTATTTTTCATATTTCAAGTGGATCACTTCAGAAGTTATTTTCTCATTCACATTTGATTTGAGTGGATCACATTAATCTACTTGTAGAGTAGAACACAAATGCGCAAAAATTTACCCAAAATGACAAGTAGGTTCTACTTTATTTTAGACTCAAAATTGACCAGAAATCATTTTTTAGAAGCAAAAATGTGTTTTGGTCCAACACTAATTACCACCAATCTGTCCCTTTTCAAATCAAGTGCAATATACATACAAACACAACAAGGATTTTCAAGGGGTACTTCAGACATCCCTATAAAAGCTTAGTTCACATTAAAAATTACATCAGAATACACAAACTACCAAACAAGTGTAAAATACAAATACATACAAAAAACTTGTAGACTACAAGGTTATTGGCAGCTCCTTTTACTATGTACATTGCCTTCAAGTTTGCATTCGTCAAATATGTCAAATATATTTCAGCTACAACAGAATAAAAACCAAGTAGACAAAAAGAAAAGAAATTCTAACCCACTTAGCGACATCTGATCAAGAGGATTAGCAACACTCCTGACATCTTCATTCAAAATTTAAGCAAAAAATGAGAAGGAATTCTCAACCACTAGAATTAGGTGAAAGTGGGGGATGGCTATCCTTTAAAAGAGCAATGTCATCCACCAAGATGTCCACAACCTCAGCTGCTAGGGAATTCAATTCTTCATTCTGTATTCCTTTCAAAGACTTCAGCACTTCATCCATTGAAGGCCTCATATCCCTCTNGGGAATTCAATTCTTCATTCTGTATTCCTTTCAAAGACTTCAGCACTTCATCCATTGAAGGCCTCATATCCCTCTCCTGTTGTAAACATCGAAAAGCTAACTCCGCCACCAACGTAGTCATCCTCCTCACTGAAGTATTCTTTTCAAATCCAAGAGTTGGATCGACCAACTCGTGCAATGCACGATTTTGAATCTTGTTGATAGCCATGTTAGACAGATTGATATCATGACGGTGCCTATTGGTGTCTACCGCTTGTAATGATGAGATTAGCTCAATCAAAACCACCCCAAAGCTATAAACATCGCTCTTTTCAGTGAGCTGGTAGCATTGATAGTACTCAGGATCAACGTAGCCAGGTGTCCCCTGTGGAGCAGTTGAGACATGCGTGACATCATTGGGGAACAATCTGGACAGCCCAAAATCAGCCACTTTCACATGGAAATCATTATCCAGGAGAATGTTGTTCGTTTTAACATCACGATGTATGATGTCCGATGCATGGAGGTAAGCCAGTGCTCCAGCGGTCTCTATGGCAATCTTCAACCGGATAGGCCAAGAGAGCAGACCAGAATTTGCACGTCTTCCATGTAGATGATCAGCCACTGTTCCATTAGGGATAAATTCATAAACAAGGAGGAGTTCTCTGCTTCGTTTTGATGTGCATCCATAGAGCTTCACAAGGTTCTCATGCTGTAATCGTGTGAGGATCTCAACTTCATTAATAAACTGCTCTACACGCTTGAAATTGTTCTCATATAGGCGTTTAACTGCAACTATGCGACCATCATGGAGCTTGCCTGCAAAGAATTGAAATAGAAGTTCAGAAAAGACATAGCTACATATTGAAATGTTGGAGTTGTTTAGCCAACTTGTGAGAAATACAAAAAATGTATCCTCATACCATAGTAAACAGTTCCAAAGCCACCATCTCCAAGCTCTCTAGAAGGATCAAAATTATCAGTGGCCTCTTCAAGTTCAGTGTGGCTGAAGACCTGAACTCCAAAGTAGGTGCTTTCCTTTCCAAAGTCAGATTTAGAGGAGGGATAAGAAGGGATGCTTCGAGTGAAAGCAGTTGAAGGAGTAGTAGCAAGGCCTTTGCTTGAAGGAATAGTTAGGAGGTCTTTGCTTTCAGTTTCAGCAGAATGTGCGGCTAGCCGTTTTCTCCTTTGTCTAGAAAAGAAGACTAACCATCCTGCACCAATGCCAGCAACAGCTGCACCTGCTAAGACAAGGCCTGGAATAAAAGAAAATAGTAAAATTTTATTTCTGAAGTGTTACGTATGTGACAAACATTAATNCAACAGCTGCACCTGCTAAGACAAGGCCTGGAATAAAAGAAAATAGTAAAATTTTATTTCTGAAGTGTTACATATGTGACAAACATTAATTTGTGTTTCCAACAGATAGACGCATTACCTATAATAAGAGCTGTTCGGGTCCGATCACTCTTGCCTGCAACAATAATAAAATCCAGAAATGCGGGTCATAACCAAATAAATGAAATTGCAAACATGGTCATACAGAAGTGGAGAGCATGCTGAGGAATAGCTGCTGAGCTAGTTAGTCAAATCCTCTGGAATGACCACAAACAAGTGATGGTTACTTTTCAGCACCCTTTCGTGTAAAAGGATAAAATAGAATGTTTGTTATGATAGATGCTTAGGGGCCATTTGATGAACAAACGTATCAAGGACAGCACATTTCCGCAGATACATTCCAATGGAAAGCACATATATTGATCAACATGGCTATTGCTAGATATGCAATTTTTTTATAACATGCCTCACCCAATCAAAGGACGCATCAATAACGAGAAATCGTATACAAGAGTAGCCTAACAAAAAAATAAGTATGGGTGCCAATTTCAAAAGCGAGGCAAAGATTATATTTCCAGCTGAAAGAGGCACAACAATTTGGAAGCTACATATTCTTTAATATGTCATCATGCAGTAGTACTATGTACACTAGAAACACACGACATGCTGAAATTCTAAGAATAGATACAGGGACAATACAAGAAATATTTAAGAAAGAGAAGAGGACAGATAAATGGAGGTAATTGGGAAAAATTGCAAAAAAGACAATTTAGACCAAGGTTGTGATAATCGGCAACGCCAGAACTGTATAGAGCCAACCATACACACACAAAAAACACATAAATCAAACAAAAACCTAAAAAACAGAGAGAGAGAGAGAGAGAGAGAGAGAGAGAGAGAGAGAGAACAAGAGGCATGCATATATCTACATAAATTGCCACAAAATGAGGCCCCATTGATGAAAGTGACTACATATCCCCATGTAAAACCCAAGCTCTACAGCTTGAGCCTGTACTTGCCTGGTCTACATCACAACTCTCTCCTCCATTTTCAATTCCACATGAGCACTAATACTAGTACATAATTTGATCACAATTCCATCATTAACTTCTTATTTTTTTTTTCCAAAATTTTCAAATTACCACAAGTAAATATGCATTATGATCACAGTGGAAAGTTCAAACTACCTTCTGGCGCAGGACATGGCTTGTTGTCACAGATGCAAATTGGCTCACCCAAATTCGTATCAAACCCACATTGCCCACCAAATTCAGTACAAAATGAGCACTGTCTGTCAAACGGGTCACTATAACTCAGATTAAAACCCTCAGCCAAAGCCTCCCCAAGAGTTGTCCGATTCCTAGTAAGCCTATCACCCACAGTCCTGAGCATCGGAACCCTAACACTAACCCTACAATAAAAAAGATTCAATATCGGATCGTTTGGAACCGGTCCGACCAAGTAATAAGAATCGGTGAAATTGACACCACTCGCATTGCAGGTGAATAAATTATGTGGTTTCACAGTCATAAGAGAAGAATTACAGCCGTAAATCAACGTGAGAGCTTCATTTTCGACGCCCGAAGTGAAAAAAGAAAGATTGAAAGTTGAATTCACGAATTGCTGAGTACAGGTGGTGTTATAGAGGTCTGAACGGGCTAGAGCTAGGGCTTTTTGTGTTTGGTTGATTTGGAGAACTCGGTAAGTGACTGAGTTGGTGGTGAATTCGGTTTGATTGTTCCAGCAACTGAGTCGAAACTCCGGCAGGCCACAGTGGTCTGGCCGGTCGCCTCCGGTGAATGGGTAAGAGATATTTCTGATGGAACCGCATGAGAAGGTTCGGTCACAGTCGGCATAGGTGACATCGGAGGAAAACGACTGTGCTAGGTGGCCGGAGAAGATGAGGATAACGGCGACGATAACCGGAGAGAAGAGAAGCGGGGTTGAGAAGTGAGGGACTGGCATTTTGGATGTGGAGGGTCATGGTGGAAGGGAGTGAGAGAGAGATGGTGTTTGGTAATAGGGTGGTGGGTGTCTCAACGTTGAATTATTGAGCTGTCTTTGCTTGACTCGGACTCTCCTGCCCCAGAATTTTGACTATGTTACATTTTCATATAAATAAAAAATATTATTTAAAATAAAAAAAACATAATAATATTTCTCGCTGGTTGCGGAAGTGACAGATTTATGACGGCTTTCTTTTTGGGCAGATGAATAATTTTATGTTATTGGAGGGGTCATAAATACAATAAATAACGCAATTGTCTAATTTTTTAGTCCTTACATTGAATTAAGGAGAAGTAGTTGCACATTTGCACTTGCTTTAATCGCCCACCAATTTTTACTTAATGGCTATTTCCTTCACAAATATCTTCATAAATCTTAATATATTAGTTTCCTTTGGTCTCCTATTCGACTTGTTGACTAACCTAAACAATTATTCCTCAACCCATAAAGAAAATAAGTTTAAAATAAACCCTTAAGATTTGTTTAAACTTGAATAATCATGGTGATCCTTGCATTATATAAGCAACTCTAAATATGGTCTTTCATCGTTTTACCTGATATTTTATGAAATTTATTTTTTTAACCTACCCCACCTGATCAAGTGTGGTATTCCTATTCGACTTCCGGCCAAATTAGTCGAGTAGGAAATCGGGTGAACACTTTTGTAGTTATTAATATTTGGGTCATTTTAACAATTCAATTAAATAATATGTACCAATTTAACAATACAATAAACCAATAACACTAAAACCTAAAACAATTATAACAACAATTACAATAAAACACAAGAAAGCATAAATATCAATCTATCATAAATGTTGCACAAATACAATAATAATTATTTTAAATTTAAATCATATGGTTAGAGAATTAGGGTTTTTAGTTTATATATATATATATATATATATATATATATATATATAATAAAAGATCGGAAGAGCGGCGTGTAGGGAAAGAGTGTAGATCTCGGGGGTCGCCGTATCATTAAAAAAAAAAAAAAACTCTCCTAACAAATTCAGAAAATTACAACAACATCCTTGCTATTTCAGAAATTACAGAAACACCTCAGAAAATTTTAGAAGTTACAGAACCACCACTAGAAGTTTTAGAAATTACAGAATCTTCCCTCTAAAAGTTTTAGAATTGCAGAAACATCCCCAATATATCCAAAAAAATTACAGAATCATTCCCAAAAAATTTTAGAATTTTCTCTTGATTATGGTGGTTTCCTAACGCCAAATTAAATGCTAAAGTGGAGGTTTTATCTCAAGCATAAGTTGATTCACAAAAGGTCATGAATGCTAGACTAGATACAATTCAAACATCTATCGATTCACTGAGAGAACTTGTGCTCGCTATAGTTTGTGAAACCAAAACAAGTGAAGATTTTAACTTTGTCTCTTCAACCGTCAATCAAAAAGTGGTTGAACACAACCCTCCAGTTATACCACAAGTTCCAATTCGATTGAATCCCGATAAACTGAAGTTATTCACTGCTGATGAGACCAAAAGTTCTACTTATACTCATTCTACAACAATTGTTTTTGATAAGCCGATTGCAAAGGGTGTTCCTACAGATGAAGTTAAGCAAGTTTCAAACATGATTTTTTTAGATGGGGTTGCTACTTTTTCGTCAACATCCTTACTATCCTTTTATCTGGAACAAAGTGTGAAGGTTATAAAGATTCAAGATATAAATTCCTCCCATTGTGATATCTTAAAATCTTACTTCTATGCTATCGGGTTTGAAGATGTGTTTTACCATCTAATGTCAATTCTCTTGGAGTATTCTTGCTACAACAACTCTTCGGAGAAGAGTTTTTTCAGTCGAGGAGAATTGATAGAAATCGAAAAGGGATTGGATGAGTTTAAATTGAATAATTGAATTTTTATTATTTGTTTTAGTATTATTTTATTAGT